ATGCGGGTTTGCTGAAGAATTTGGTGACTGCTAGGATTGTTAATTAGTATCTCCGAAGCCTGGTTGTTATAGCTAAACTTAAAGCATTGGCTTCAACGCATCGCAAAACCAGAACCTTGGAAAGACCAGTGAACATCCATGAGAAAGTGAGTGAGGAGCAAGGTACCTCGCATTGTACATCCGTCTGGTTTTCACAACTACCGTTCCTAGGGATTTAGGATTCAGATTCGCACATCAACCAGTTAGCTTTTCTCCCAATCATCTTGATATAGAGGCAGCTATGCAAGGCGCAGCCAGGTAGTCCAATGCTCAAGCCACTTAATCAACACAAATATTATCCTAACTTACAACAAAATTGCTTGTTTCTTCTCTAACAATGGAACCGGAAAATGTTACTTTGAATGCGCGAGAAACTCCTTTGGTCGAGATGAAGAAACGTAAATGAAGAAATGAGTCCGGAACATCTCGACCAGGTACAGGCCGCTTTGTTTACATTAGGAGTCTGGAGTATCTCGCCGCAATTTCACTTGAAATCACCATGAACAGATCAAGGGGGTAACTGATATTTGATTTTACGAAAGGGATAAATGTTAGACGCGGACGAAAGTTCTTTTGTCGAGGTGAAGAAACGCTAACGCTGAGAAATTGAGTCTGGAACATCTCGAGGGAGTCCGCTCCGGGTACGCTCTTTGTTTATGTCCGGACTATGTCGCCGTTCGTTTGTTTACATTAGGAGCGAGTTTGACACCGATGACAGACTTTGGTTTTTGATGAAAATTTGGTCTGGAATATCTGGGCCAAACGCAAAAACCTATCGGAATCGGAGACGTTCCATAGCGTTTTCTCAGTTATCAGTAGTCTAAATCATTAAATTTCCTTTAATTTCCTTGTGATATGTTGTGAATTTGTTTCAACAAGGTTGGTGTGACACTCATTAAATTTGACATTGATATTCCTTATCAAACCTCTTAAATTTAGTTTCTTTTCTCAGGTTCTGCAGGTAACTGTACAAAGACCAATTATTGACATGGTTTTTTCAGATATTATAAAGTTTTCGTAGCTCTTACTCTTTAGACCGTTTAATTCTATGACGCTTTGAGTATTTTAGAACTTTATATACTTAAGGTTACCAATAACTTGACAGATCATCTATTGATTGCCGTGATTCAATGGTGCTGATAGCAAGTCGGCGGCGTAAGTCCGCAATCACATATCTCGTTTGTGGTGCTTGAAAATTTCCGCCTCCATTTTATTTTTCTAAAGGAGAATAAATTGGCATCATTCCTTGAAGTTTATGCAGAATTTTCTTTGCCCATAGAAGAAAAATCACAACAGTTATAAAGAATTGCTGTTGAGTAGTTTTCTGTTCAGACAATAATATATGACAGGATATATGCAATGTCGCAAACCGAGTCATGTGATTGCCGACTTACACCGTTGAAGTGGTCTGCGAAGTCCTTTTTCCATGCGCTCACAGATCTTCTCAAGTCACACGTTCTAGAATTAATGTCCAAGGGTTCCAACAAGATTGTAAAAATAACCTCAAGTCTGTAACCTAAGTTGAGTGTTTATTGTGCCTACTTATTACAGGCGTGCCATATATATACCATGAGTCAGCAAATGACAACTCAAATGCAAGTGATTTAAAATGTGAGGAACATCTAAATGCAGTTAATGGCCCTGATGTAAACACACTGAGGTTGTATATCTGTTCACATTGGAACTGATCAAAAAGTGATGTGCATAGAATGCTTTAGCCACAAAATCAGTCTACTGAGTTCAAATTTTGAGGCCTAAGCATTATCTTGCACGAAGACCAGGTGATCAGAGTAGAGGGGGTAGCAGAGCTCAAAAGTTTTGACAAAGACATCTTAAAGTTGCGTATAACAGTCCTTAGAGCTAGTATCTTGCAGCAGTGGCTGCCTCAGGAATGGGATCCTTCCTCCTGTTATCATCTCTAGTATATTAAATTTCTTCCCATTTTTACCTGTCTGCAGTAAAATTGTTTCCCTTTGTTCAACTCTAGTCTAAATCGTATAAATCTTTTTTCTTTTTATCCTTTGTAAATCCTCACTGAACTTTTCTAACAGAAAGGAACTGATCAACTACACCTGATGTCATATTTATTCTTATTTTACTCTTTAATTTACTATTGTGTCATGTTCTAGGTGCCATCATGGGCCGAAGAAGTGAAGAAAGAGAGGAACGTGAAAGAGATCGCTTGCGGAAAGAACGTGAACGAGAGAAAGATAGGGATAAGTATCGAGGCAGGGAACGCGAAAAAGATCTTTACCGTGACAGAGAAAGGGAAAAAGACAGGGACAGAGAACGAGAAAGGGAAAGAGATCGTGATAGAGATCATGACAGAGAAAGAGATAGAGAAAGAGATTATGGTAGGGACAGAGAGAGGGAGAGAGATCGTGACAGAGACCGTGAACACAGGAAAAGACCTCGTAGCTCCAGTAAGGAGCGACAGATAAAAGATTCTATAAAAAGGTTAGTTCACATGCAATATACCTGTTTTCTCCTAACTTTTCCCTTTGCATTTTAACAAACGTTTTCCCTTTGCGTTTTTACAACAATCATTGGTGTAAAAACTATTTGTTAGTTTTTTTTTTGTTATCTTTTTACCAAGTTTCAAACAGTCCTCAGGTTTACGAACATTGAAGGAGTCGATTCTTTGGGTCAAAAAAGACGTTTTTGAGGTATAACTTTTTTTCTTGTAAGTTGGAGAAAAAAATCGTCTTTTTGACACTGTGACAATGTTTATTTATTTATTTATTTATTATACAATGTACGGGCAAAGAACCCAAGATACACAAGACAATTAAACAATCCAACATGGCAACAATTTTATGTACTCTACATTACAATATTACAAGAATATAGCAGAATATTTACAAAAAAGTAACTAATAAGAATAACTAATAAAAATTGACTAATAAGTTTCCAAAGCCCAACCTCTAGCTAAAAACTTAAAACGCATCAACTCCAGACATTCCTGCAGATCCACTGGAAGATCATTCCAGTACCTAACCATCCTGCAACCAGGAGAGAAGGAATGGCCTTCCATGAATCGCCTACCACCCCACAAAGAATGAGCAACCTCCCTCAATTTAAAACGACCGAGTAACCCAGGAGAGAATAAAAGCCCATTCACTAGCTTAAAACTGAAAACCAAATCAAAATATTTATAAAAAGACACAACAGAAAAAAACAGAAAGACGGTTAGAAATTTCATTATAATCATGCTCATAAATAGACATGGGATATCCCAATTTAAAAGATGAAAATCGAAGTAAATGATGCTGAGGCAACTCCAACTTAACGATATCACACTGAGTATAGGGGCACCAAACCACTGATGCAAAAGTTAAATGCGGAAGAACCAAAGTACGATGAAGATGCAAAATAGTAGAAATTTGAAACTTGCCAGCCACTCTTTTTATAAAACCCAACATCCTGAAAGCCTTGTTAACAACATAGTCTACATGCTCGGAAAAACTGAAATTAGAACTGAAAGTTACACCCAGATCCCTGATGGTACCAACCCTCTCAAGCGGAGAATGGCAGAGAGAATAATCAAAACACAGCGGAGAACGACACCTTGAAAAAGACCGAACTTTGCATTTGCCCAGATTAAACTCTAAGCCATTCAACCTGGACCACTCAGAAAGATAATCCAGCTCCGCCTGAAATAGCATAGCATCATTCACAGACTTGACAATTCCATATGCTTTAAAGTCATCAGCATATAGCAAAGCATTCAAAAAATTCAAGACTGATGCCAGATCATTAATTAAATCAAAAACAAAATCGGCCCAAGGTGAGAACCCTGCGGCACACCAGAAGTCACTTCTGGTGTGTCACATATGATAATTTTTTTCCTAGAATTACAGATGGAATAAGAAGAAAAAATTTTCTTAACTTTTGGTTATAGATATCTTCTTCAACCAATATTAATGAAAATTGGTAATTTTTAGCGCTCTTTTCATTTTCGACCTCCATTAATGAGAAAACTCATTTTGAGGGGGGAATTCCAACCTATATGTGGTCATAATTAATGTCTCTAGCAAGAAAAATTGATTTTGAATTAGATTCAGCATCGAAAAATATTGAGAAAAGTATCATGCGTTTTTTCTTCATGACTCATTGTTTTTGAAATAAGAGGGACGAATAGGGTATAGTAGGAGGATAATGGAGCCCCCAGGGAAAGCGTTTTGGAAAAAAAGTTATACCCCAAAAACGCCTTTTCTTGATCCAAAGAATCAGCTCCTTCAATATCCGTACTTAATCCTGGGACACCCTGTATTGGCAAATCTCACGCTCATTACCCCAGTTCCAGGTGACAATTGCCCGAGATAGAGACCATCAAACTCAGGTCACGTTACTGGAAATGGAACCCAGGATCTCTCGGTCATAGAGCCAGCTCTACAACCACTACACCACAGGAGGCGGACTATGCTATCTCTTACTGATGCAACTGAAAATTTCAGTTGCTCACTGAACTGAATGAACTTTTAGTAGTTATTTCATTCTGAAAAACTAAAATAAGAGCATCCCCAGGCATTTTCTTTCACTTGGTCGTTTAATGACTGCATATCAAGAAATAAGCAATTTTAAGGCAAGCCTGTATAATACTTTTCCATGATCGTTGTCAGAACCTTGGAGAAGCAATAATTGTGTTCTTCTGAATTTCTCAAGAATCTCGAAGAATTCTGAAAATTGCTCTTAATTGGACCGCATTTAGAAGAAAGGAACTAAGCCACATTAGCTATTACCAAATTTAACTGGGTAATCTAATTTTTTACAAGAGAACGTTTGTGCGGATTCCTTTGTAAATTTTGAGGAAATTGCCTCATACTATGCAGAAAATTCACTGAAACTTGCACAAAAATCTGCACAACTGTTTTCAAGTAAAAAGTTAAATTGCCCAATTAAATTTGGCAATCGCTGATGTGGCTTGGTTTCTTTCCCTTTAACAGGGTCCAATTAATAATTTGTTTTGAACTCTTAGGTTATTATCAACAGTCATTTTTGTTCATCTCGTCCATCTTGTTATTCTTAAAACCTACCTCCAATGTTATTTCAATCTCTCTTGTTGTTTTTTTCAGTGGAACTTTTTTTTTTATTGTAGTCTCACTATGCTATTTGTCAAATTCTTAAATTTTGTTGTTTCAGTGAAGGGTCAGATAAAGGAGCAACTAAGAAAGAAATTAAAGAAGAAGAGGAAGATAATGGATCAGAAGCTAAGCCGAAGAAAGAACCTCTCTCTTTGGAGGAGCTTCTCGCAAAGAAAAAAGCCGAGGAGGAAGCTCGCAGCAAAGTGAGTGAAATTTAAAAAAAAAAAAAAATAAGTTAAATCCCTCATTGTTTTCGTCCTTCATCATCATCCCTTATCTCAAACATTTTTACCATGTTGTGTAGGCCTCAATGGATCTCTAGACAAGGCACAAATTTATACATTCTGATATGTTTTTCCTCTTTAAAGTTTCAAGTAGAACATGATTAATGCAACAATTAACTCACACACAAGGTATCAACGCATTTTATGCCAAATTTGGCCGGCCAAGCTATTATAGTCAAAATGATAATGTAAAAATCGAAGTAAAAGCCTAAAATTCAGTGTATTTAGCTATTTAACTACATGATGTTAATTACAAACAAGCAATGATGAAAATACAAACTCGCCAGAAAATGATAACAAAGGCAGACGTTTCAACCCATAGGACAAGGATCTTCTTCAGTGCACAATCAAAAAACCCTTAGCAAAGATGAGAGATGAAGAAATGAAAGAATAAAGCAGAAACTACATCTTAGAAGAAATATATATTTATTTTTAGCTAAGACAAGCGTAAACTTTGATGATTGATAACAGCCAAGTTAATAAAAAGCAAGGACTAGCATAAATGGGAACTCAAGCATCAACAGGCAAGGTCTCACAAAATACATAATCTCTTGTGAGTTTAGGCAAGGTCTTGCAAGATACTATATTTTCATCTATTGCTTGGTTGTAATTGACATCATGTAGTTGAATTGCTATGACACAGATTAGAAAAGTAAATTGTTGGAAGGAAATCTAAAAAGAAAATCTCAACGTAGATCTATGGGGGATCTATGAAAGAAAATTACGTTACAATGATTCAAATCCTTAAAATTGGATTATTATTATTTGTCCAGCCAAAATTTTTAACTAAAGAAGAGCGCGCAAAAGAAGCTATGAGAAAACGAGAGCAGGAAGTTGAAGAAATGCGTAAACGAATGGAAGAAGAAAGGAAGAAACGTTTGCAATTCACACGAGAAGCTCATACCAGTGAAACAAGACGAGACGACACAAGGTGAATGTAATATCATGATTTTTTTATTCAGTTAATTCTCTCAGCTCTGAGTAAGTGTATAACTCATCTTGAAGTAAGGTTTTCTTGTAAAATATTTGTGCTCAAATAACCTCCAAGATTCTTGGTGCGTAATGTCAATAATTTGTTCCTCAGTCAGAGAAACTAGAAGGCCTTTTCTTGAAGGGCAGGTTTTGGAAGATTTGTCACAGCATCAAATCGTTCTAAAGAAACCTCGAGAATATTTCAGTGTTATCACCTCCATGTAACAGCTCTCACGCCATTGCGACAGAACAAAATGCACAATTAAATAAAATATTTAAATGTAGGTCTGTACAAAAATCAGTAAACCTGCAACAGAATGCAATTTTGAGTTACAATACTTTTCACCCTCATATTTAGCATGAGATGGCAAAAAAAAAATTATTGATTTTTGAAACCAAATACATAGAGTTACCTATTGATAGTTCAGATACCTACATTATTAATTTTTCTACTTGTAAATTTATTACTCTGAGTTACAAGTTCTTTTGAAAGGTAAATGATTTCAAACATAGGCATTGGTGTAAGTTGCAATGTCACTCAAATGTTTGTCGTAATTCTAATATTGTGTGTGTTTTCATGTTAAGGAGGCAGAGAGAAAATGTAGAAGACAAGGAGGTCTCTAAAGATAAAGAAAGAGAAAGTGAGGCAATCAAAGAACGTTACCTTGGCCTTGTGAAGAAGAAGCGACGAGTCCGGAGACTGAATGATCGGAAGTTTGTTTTTGATTGGGATGCAAACGAAGATACTTCAATTGACTACAACAATTTGTACAAAGAGCGGCACCAGGTATTTAAGAAATCCATGCTGTTTTTTTATCAACCAATCCAAAATCTTGGTGAAGCAGTCGATTAGTCGGTTAGAGGCATGTTAATCAGTAGGTCTGCTAAGTTATGGAACAGAGCAGGATTATGCATCATACGGAGACCTATCTTTTCATTGTTTTTTTTACATCTCTATCTGAGCAAACCTAATCGCCACAATGGACCACTAGACAGGGTATGAAATTCAGCATTCTGATACATGTTTCTCAGCCAAAATTTTACGTAGAATACGTTGCGCACAACGAAAATTACCGAAATCAACTCCTTACGAAGATATTTATTGATTCTTGATGCGTGAATTCAAACCACCCGCTCATGAAAACTCAATGCTCTACGTGATTCACATCGCGTGCTAAACGTTATCATGACAGTCTCTGCGATATAAAAATCTAGCAACCTCAATCTTGACGCTTTGGCTCAGTTATAGCAAATTGCTAATAGTTTGAACAACACATGGTGGGAAATGAACATTGCTCGATTGAGAAGCTTGCTGAAACCGTTGTAGTGCGCGATTTGCCTCACGTAGAGCTTTGAGTTTCTTGTGAGCGGGCAGTGCAAATTCCTCGTAACCAATGTGAAATAAAAACGTTAATATCTTCGTAAGGAGTTAGTTTCAGTAACTTTTGTTGCGTGAATCGTGTTCTATGTGAAATTCTGGTTAAGAAACATATATCAGAATGCTTAAATTCGTACCTTGTCTAGTGGTCCATTAAGAAAAAAGTGCCAGCAGGTGCAGTTTTGGAAGTAAGTGATATGGACTGTGCTAATAGTGCGCCTTAGAGTATATTCTTGACTTTTTTTGTGCAACAAGATTTTGGTGCTATTTTAAACGTAAATTTCTGTGCAGCCAACTGTATCTCCCGTGTGCAACAGACCTATTGAGGTATTGTTACTCCTTTTAGGTTGAAACTCTAGCTATGATAACTTGCCTGATTAATCAAGTTTCTGATCAAGACTAAGCGCAAGGTATTTTTAGTGTATTTTCCGAAGAAAATACACTATTGCATTCTCCTATGATGTCGGACCCAGACCTAAGACCTTGTGGAGAGCACCGATCATGAGTCGTAGATCACGAAAATATATGCCAACCTAGAGCGCCAGTTTTTTCTTTCTATTTTATTGTTTTCAGGCTTTGTGTCAGTATTTTTTCTTTTGATATAGATTTTTAAAAGAATTTTCAAGAAATTATTTCTGTGAAAATTAACTGTGTTCCAAAATTCGAAAATTCTTTGTCATTTTCAAAGATATAAATTTAGCAAATGTTTCTTTTGTAGTACTCTAAAAGCCTCAATAATTTCCACACAATTTTTTCAGAATTTTGTTTTGAGTATTTTTGTCCAAGAAGAAAGAGACAATTTTTTATGGTCATTAAATTGAATATAATGAGGATCTCCAATAAAGTGGTCTGTATGTGTCTTTACCAGGTTCAATTTTATGGACGCGGTAATATAGCAGGCATAGACATAAAAGCACAGAAACGAGATCAGTCAAAATTTTATGGTGACTTGTTGGAAAGGAGGAGAACAGAAGCAGAAAAAGAGCAAGAAAAGTAAGTAATAGACTCCTCTATCGCTCAGATTCTTGTCAATTGTGTCCATCATATCTGTTGAAGAACCTGTTGTAAAAGAACCTTTTCAATCTAGCGATGATTTTTACTTGATGAGGTGTTCTCGAGCAGTCAGTAGAGGAATTACTGAATAAAAGTCTAAAACGGTGGTTTTTTCACCCTGTATTCGAACATCAAATAATAGTAAGCGTAAATCTTGCAAAATACAAAGTTGCAATTTGTCGAGACCAATGGGGCAAATTGCAGTACCAGTTTTATTATTGTTTTCTGGCAGTTTTTAGGCCTCTCTTTTTCTGGTGGGACCATAATTTATGGAAGAATTAGATTGAAAGAAACTCAATTTTTTTTAGATCTTATTTACAGAAATGTTTTTCTGATTTTGAAAAATTCCATAAAATACTTAAATATGAAGTCACAGTATAAATATTTAGACCAACCAGAAGAATGAAAAATACGAATTATGGAGGGAAATTGAATTAATTTCAGTCTAGGCTCAGTTCAAATCACATATGTAATCATTCTTTGAGGAACATATTTAGATAATAACTTATGACTAAATATATATTCATTGATAGCATTATCTTCCTTTGATTTTCGAGGAAAGAACTGTCTCACAGCTAACTCTCAAAGAATATTATCGCTCCCCTGTTAATGCTCATCATTTTCCTGACAGAGTTCGTCTAAAAAAAGTCAAGCGCAAAGAAGACAAGCAGAAATGGGACGACAGACACTGGACAGAGAAAGCACAAACTGAAATGACAGAAAGAGATTGGCGTATCTTTCGAGAGGACTACAATATCACCATCAAAGGTCAGGCCTTATTATATTTATTTATTGTAAAAATAATACCTATCACGCTATCAGTCAAAAGGCCACAGTGAAAGTCAAATCTTAACGTAAGATAGTTCATTTAAAGAGGAAACTTAACAAATTACTCATTCATGGCTGTCAACATGAATATAAATTTACAATGTAATTAATATCCAACTAAGACATGGATTAGATTCAAGAATCTCCCCCAGGGTAAAATGGCATCCCTCTATCATAAAGTAGCCTTAAAGTAGAGACGAATGTAGAATATTTGACTCGGTTAGGCCCTTGATGATTAGTTATTGACTTCTCAGATCAAAAATCAATTACCACTTTGAAGAAAAAATTATTTTCAATGTTTCGAATAATTTTAAGAATGTGATTTTTTAGTTTCAAATTATGAGTATATTTTACCCCATAAATTAACTTATCATGACATTGCCAAGGGGCAAGTAGTATCTGATTTTAAATTTTCATTTCTTCTCCTTAAAGGTTATTTGGATGTATTTTTTGATTTCCTATGCAGAACTTGTACCCTCATCATAATGTCTAATGCAAATGACTAATGTCTAATGAGTGGTGAAAAATTCTTCCAAATTCAAAAATCATCAATTGATTCACCATTGAATCATTCTTTTAAGTTTTGTAAAACTTGCTTAGAGTGCATTAAAATTTTAATGATCGGCCATTGGAAATCAGCTTTGTACTTATGTTTTAGGAACAGCATCTGGTAACGTAGCCGCACCATCGTAGTGAACAAGTTGCATTTTGCATATTGCTTTTTGTATTAGAGTGTATATAAATCTCTATTATGTTCCTGATTTGCCAGAGGAGAGCTAGAGATCTTAATTTTGTTGCACAAGTATGACCAAGAATTTTAAAAATTCCAAAGTTTTCAAAGAGATTGTTGCTTTTATGTTTTTAGGTGGTAAAATTCCAGATCCGATTCGAAGTTGGAAGGAATCTGGCATTCCGTCTGAACTCTTGGATATTATTAATACAATCGGTTACAAAGAACCCACTCCAATCCAGAGACAAGCCATTCCTATTGGTTTACAGGTATATTTGCCAATATTTTGGAAGCAAAAAAAAAACTTTTGTTCATTTCCTTTTTCAAGGTTGAATGAGGGCCTATTTAGAGGTCTTTGGTTGCTCTATTAGGGTGTCCACAAGTCTGGAAGTAGTACTGATTTTTCAAGGGCGGTCTGGAAGTACTGAAAAAGTGCAGAAATTTCGCAAGAAAGTCCGAAGTCTTTTGAATTTTTGTAGCAATTTGAGCGGGGAATTCATATTTTTGAAAATTTTTGAATTTCGTCTGTTGGAGGTACTGAAAAAGTACGGAATTTTTCTGTTAAGGAGGTACTGAATTTCTTGGAAATGTACTGAAAACTACTGCTAAAGTACTGATTAGTGGCCAGCCTGTTTTAGTAGACACCCTGTCTACTTATTCAAATTTTAATTCAATTTTTGCAGTATTTGTGTAGTAATTTGGTTTAGATGATTCTTCAGGAGGAAAAATTTGGCCAAAAGTATTCATGGTGAAAAGATCTTTATAATTTTTCTTTCATTATTGCCCTGTCATAAAAATCACTTGTCGTTTGTAAAACAACATATACATTTTCGTACATTTGTCCTCAAATTTTCCCTAAAAAGTGTATGTTATTTTGTTATTCTTCTTGAAATAACTACATATGTATTATTATTTTATCTATTCACCGAAAGTAAAAATGAGATTTCCCATGGGGTCCAGTAGTAATACTACTACTACTACTACTACTACTCATATTACTACTACTGCTACTACTAGTAATGTAAGTAGTGTAGCCCTCCCACTTTGAAATGATAGCTTACTCTTTTTTTACAGAACCGAGATATCATTGGTGTGGCAGAAACTGGGTCAGGTAAAACTTTGGCCTTCTTGATTCCTCTGCTAATGTGGATTCAGTCTTTGCCAAAAATAGAAAGACTGGAAGACGCTGATCAGGTAATTTTTTTTTTTTTATTATACTTTAATTTGACTATCTGTTCGAAGGAAATTGCTCCAACAAGTTACAGCACACAAAAAATACTGCCCCCTCCCCCCCCCCTCATAGGCCTCCTTTCTTCTCAAAATTTTTCTAACAAAAGAAATAAATGAATACCTCCAATTTATCAAAACTCCAAAAGGTGGATCATTTTTATTGACAAAATATCAAGCTTGAAAGAATGTTTGGAAAATGTATTCCCCCAGTTAACCTCCTAACGGAACATTGATGTAAATAAAATTGCAATCGTTAGAATGAACAAAATTACTCGCGCTTTGTACTGTTAAAGTTGTCTAGATTAATTAGTACTTTCAAGTATGTACTAACATTCATCTAAATGCAGTTTGTTTAATATTTGCCTTAGGGTCCTTATTCCATCATTTTAGCACCTACCCGAGAGTTGGCACAGCAGATTGAAGAAGAAACCAATAAATTTGGCAAGCCCCTCGGTATAAGGACTGTTGTCGTCGTTGGTGGTCTTTCTCGTGAAGAACAAGGTTTTAGACTGCGTCTAGGTTGTGAAGTAAGCAATTGATTACTTTCATAGAATCGTTCATTGCATGGGCCTCTAAGCCATTTCCCTGAACAATCTGTTAAGCCAAATTCACTTGGTTCAACTTTTTATTCAACTTTTCTGCAGCTTTTGTCAAGTTAAACTTCACAATACAATATGTCACCAAACAATATTCACTTGAGAACGCAACAATTGGTAGAAGAGTTGAATGGAAAATTGAACGAGACTTCCTTTCAACTTTTTGTTCAATTTTCATCCAGTTGGCACCACTAATTTGATGGAAAGTTGAAACAAAATCTTCCAGACAACATAGGCCGAANAAAAATAGAAAGACTGGAAGACGCTGATCAGGTAATTTTTTTTTTTTATTATACTTTAATTTGACTATCTGTTAGAAGGAAATTGCTCCAACAAGTTACAGCACACAAAAAATACTGCCCCCTCCCCCCCTCTCATAGGTCTCCTTTCTTCTCAAAATTTTTCTAACAAAAGAAATAAATAAATACCTCCAATTTATCAAAACTCCAAAAGGTGGATCATTTTTATTGACAAAATATCAAGCTTGAAAGAATGTTTGGAAAATGTATTCCCCCAGTTAACCTCCAAACGGAACATTGATGTAAATAAAATTGCAATCGTTAGAATAAACCAAATTACTCGCGCTTTGTACTGTTAAAGTTGTCTAGATTAATTAGTACTTTCAAGTATGTACTAACATTTATCTAAATGCAGTTTGTTTAATATTTTCCTTAGGGTCCTTATTCCATCATTTTAGCACCTACCCGAGAGTTGGCACAGCAGATTGAAGAAGAAACCAATAAATTTGGCAAGCCCCTCGGTATAAGGACTGTTGTCGTCGTTGGTGGTCTTTCTCGTGAAGAACAAGGTTTTAGACTGCGTCTAGGTTGTGAAGTAAGCAATTGATTACTTTCATAGAATCGTTCATTGCATGGGCCTCTAAGCCATTTCCCTGAACAATCTCTTAAGCCAAATTCACTTGGTTCAACTTTTTATTCAACTTTTCTGCAGCTTTTGTCAAGTTAAACTTCACAATACAATATGTCACCAAACAATATTCACTTGAGAACGCAACAATTGGTAGAAGAGTTGAATGGGAAATTGAACGAGACTTCCTTTCAACTTTTTGTTCAATTTTCATCCAGTTGGCACCACTAATTTGATGGAAAGTTGAAACAAAATCTTCCAGACAACATAGGCCGAAGCTATATATTCACTAACTAGAAGCTAATAGAGATGCTCGAATGCCTTTTGGTAACAGTAATTGAATTAAATTTTCTTGCATTCAAACCTTCCATCATATTTTTGTCCGCTTTTGTCGGATGAAAAGTTAAACTATGTGAATTATCATTCAAGTTTTTTACTATTATTATCATTAATATCAATCTTCTATACTATTACTTAGACCTACACTACCGATCAAGACAAGAAACGCGGCTCCTAATTCTGGATTTTGCGAGTTTCACAGACAAATTACTCTAGAACAAGGCATCTTTCAAACCTACATAATTTGTTATTGCAAGATACTTCTTATAGGGTATAATGCATGTAACCTGAAAGAATGAAAAATGCACATGCCGAGGCTTTTTAAGTTTTAATGGGTCACTAAACTTTGTTTCTTTTATTTAATATTCTAAAAGCATTAGGTGAACAGATTACGTAGTGATTCATTTGTGCATTTTTGGAGCCAAAATCCTGGACAAGTCGGGTTTTAAAAAGTCTAAAGATTCCGAAGAATTTCAAACGCGCCAGAACGGCGGGAAAATGATGGCAGTGAAGTACGGTAGTCGAATCGCTATCTCGTCTGATTTTCCACTCATGTTACGTATTTCAATGTGGACTGTTCCTTGTTAACCACATATAACATGAATGGGATTAGATTAGTTGATTCTGAAAATATAGTTTCGACTTTCTTATTGTTTTCATATACGAGGGGTGGAGATTTTTGACAGAAGTCGTAGAAACTCTTGCTTGCCTCTGATTGGTACCGGATGGCATCATTTGGTTTGGAGCGGAACCAGGGCGTTTGAAATCTGCGGAAAAGTCTCACTTTTTGAACCGCGTATTTTCGGTTTCCGAGTCAATTTTTTGCGTCTTTAATGTACGTATCAAGATCTACGCATCTTTTAACCCCAGAAAAATTTATACGTACCTAAGTCAAAATCCGTTCATGGTTTAGTGACTCATTGCCTTGTCCAGTAAATACTTCTTAAATCTGGAGCGGTCTGTGGTATCTGCTGAGCACGGCAGTACAATACTGAGGGTGTTTTCTTGAATCCTCTGTAAAATCAGCATATTTGTCTGTAAATATTTATTCCAACATCGTTCTGATTTCTTGCTTTGCCTAGGTGCACAATATCTCCTCTTTGTCACATAAATGATGTAGTGCTAAAACTAAAATATGCTCATGGGCTCAGCATTATGTGTTCGAATTCATTATTACTTTTTCGAGTCGCACACCATTTCTCGAACAGCAAGTATTAATACTGATTATTGCAAGCAAATGAAGAGTGGGAAGGGAGTTTCATTCTCAAAAAATGTAACATCAATAGCAAATTATTGTTCCCATAATATGTTTTCTTAATAGTCTTTCTCTTTTTTTCAGATTGTCATAGCTACTCCTGGACGGTTGATCGATGTCCTAGAAAATCGTTATTTAGTTTTAAATCAGTGTACCTATATTGTATTAGACGAAGCTGACAGAATGATAGATATGGGTTTTGAGCCAGGTGAGTTAAAAATTAAGCACCACTTAAGCTGGTAAAATTTACACCTTTCTCGCCTGTGCGGCACAGTTTGACAGAGTTTCCCTGCAGTTCATAGTACTTTACCACATTCCCTGTCTATGAACAACTTTCTGTGTTATGAATGACCCTTCTCATGAAAGCCCAGTTCACACTGTTCAACTATTCATTCCAAAATCTCTTCGGCTTTTGTCAATGAAAAGTTGGATCATGTGATACTGACATGAGAACACAACATTTCAATGAAAAGATGAAACTTAAAATGGAAACTTGAAAGTGATGTCAACTTCAACTTTTCGTTCAACTTGTAATGAAATCTATCAAGCGACATTTGCAGAGGGATCTTTGCGAACCAAAAGCTGAAGAAGATGCCTTACTTCTGCTTGATGACATCATAAGGCAACAGCAATTGAATAAAATTCCATTGTGTCTAACTTTCCGTTCAACTTTTCGTTCGCTTTTGCCGAATGTAAAGTTGAATAGTGTAAATTGGACTTGGTTATCTAAATCTCGCCCAAATTTTTTCAAGCTAGGTGTGATAAATTATTCGTCATCGAAAAAATTTCTAATCGCTGCTCTGTCTGGTTTTAGATGTTCAAAAAATTCTTGAATACATGCCCGTCACAAATTTGAAACCAGATAATGAAGATGCCGAAGATGAATCTAAACTTTTAGCCAATTATTTCTCAAAGAAAAAATATCGACAGGTCAGTATCTTCATAATTCTTTCTCCTTGGTTATTTCTTCACTTAAAATGACATGAGTATCTTGCTATGCGTCTCTAATTTAATTTTTTAATCTAATTAGAGATATTATGTAATAAATTTCGTCAAGAATATGTTCTGCAACCTTTTTGAAGCAAAGATCAATGGTGAAACTCCAAAGCCATGTATCTTGTTTGCAGTGTTTAAAAATCTGTGCTGTGATTTTATTATTTTTAAGTAAAAAAATCAACATCATTCCTTGATATTTTCAGAATTTGCTTTGCTCAGAGAAGGAAATTCACGAAGATTTTTAAGAATTGATGTTGAGTGGTTCTCTTTTTAAAAAACCAAGTATTACAGGAAGTCTGCAAAGTTGCAAACCGAGATACTTTTCATGAAAATACTTTTCATGAGCATACTTTTCACTGTCGATATATGTTAAAAACATACCCGTCACTAGGCATGATTTGATTTGACTAGGACTTGCACCAAAGGGAATGATGTTCTTCTATTGAAGCGGATACATCAATTTTCACCTATCTAAATTTTAAATTAATACAACCACATTTTGTACGTCATGACTGGTTGATTTGGTAAATTTGTATGCTTTATTGAAGACTCACATTCATATTATGATGGAAAGTTTTTGGGTCATGATTTTTTCACTAATACTGTTTTGACAAAGATACAATTAGTGCAAGTTTTTCAAAATTTTTTAGTTTCTATTCTCATTGAAAAGAAACTTAGTGTAATGGATTGTTTTGTTTTAGACTGTGATGTTTACTGCAACTATGCCTCCTGCTGTAGAACGCTTGGCAAGAACATACCTCCGACGCCCTGCAGTTGTATACATTGGTTCCATTGGTAAACCAACGGAGAGAACAGAACAAATTGTATACTTAGTCACCGAAAGTGACAAGCGTAAAAAACTAATGGAGATCCTTCAAAGAGGTGTTGAGCCTCCTGTCATTATTTTCGTCAACCAGAAGAAAGGAGCTGATGTCCTTGCTAAGGGTCTGGAAAAGCTTGGAGTAAGTTCATTTTGTATTCTCCTCAGAGACCCAGGTCTCAACATTGACTGGTTCACTCGCAGCTTGAGGAATTGAAAAATAGGAATCCGATTTTATGCAAAATTCTCCGTCGCAACTTAGGAAGCCAAAAACTTTGTGTTAGAGAAATTATTTTACAGTTAGTACGTTTTTGCATTTCTCAAAATTAGCCAAGACCCGCTTAAACAAATGCCTGCAAGCTGATTGTTGAAATTGAAAAACAAAGAAGACAAAAGGGATATGGAGGGAACCCATTGGTGGAAGTGGGTGGCTGCAATGGACAGAAAAGGTAGAAAATAGACTAAACAGCGGCAACCCACGAGAGACCCTACAGTTAGTCCATCATTTTCTCCCTTAGTCTATAGGAACCAACCATTTCAACCAATAGGATTGCTCCATTCTCCCTATGTCCTCTTTGTCTATCGATTTCAACAATGAGCCGGCTAGTAATATTTTTGCCAGCAGTGCAATTGTTTCAAGAATCAATTCAACTTATTTTACTTCCTACTGCGAGGTTTTGCCAGTTTTGTACTCACAACTCATCACAAGATCATCGCTGGCACCATCTCTGTTTCTTACAAGATTCCACCCTGAAATTAATGACTAAATCGCAAAGCCACATATGATGTTCCCGAGCTTCTATTGAGAGAGGCAGCCTGTTACCAGCATGCATGATCCAAAAGTTGGTATCAAAATAAAACTTACCGCTGATGTTCGTGGTGAACTCTTCCCAGTAATTTCATGTTTTCATTTGTGTTTTGCAGTTCAATGCCTGTACACTCCACGGAGGTAAAGGTCAAGAACAGAGAGAGCATGCTCTCAGCTCTTTGAAGACGGGTGCTAAGGATATTCTGGTGGCAACTGATGTTGCTGGACGTGGTATTGATATCAAAGATGTGTCAATGGTTATCAATTACGACATGGCCAAGTCAATCGAAGGTATTTCAATACTTTAAGTTACAAAGCTGCATTAATTTTCTTTTGTAAAAAAGCATTTTTGGAAATTTTGGAACGGTCACAACCTGAGGTTGAAGATTAAATGCTAAGCTTTATCTACAGATGTTCTCTGATCATATGGTGACTTTTTGCCTTCCCCGTTTTGCTCCTTTTTTATCAAAATAGATTAGGGGGTGATTCCTCTCTAATATATCCATTAGCCAACCCACACCACTCACAGGACCCAGTCAATGTTCTCATATGCTCATGCTTTCCAAGTATTCAATATTTAGTTTTTGGTCAGATACCGGTCCCTCTTTAGCAGTTATGAAAATTTTCTCGCATTAGCACAATTAATTGGTCTAATTTCAAAAGAGCACATTCTCTTTCAGTTACGTTTTCCTTTATCTGTTGCGGATGAAAGCATGGATTGTGGAAATTCTGCTTGTTACTTGTGAGACAGTATAAACTGCAAATCAGGTAAATTACAAACCCCGAAGAGAATCGGAGTCTGTTGGATGGAGATAGGATACATTGTAAACTCCGCGTTGATGGATCTCCAACTATTGTTCATCACTCTGTCAAACTGCTGGCAAATCTCATTCTTTGTATTTAGCGCTCTTTTAACCTATTAACTCCAAATCAAAATGCAATACATTTTTTTATCTTCAACTTGATTTTTAATTTGTCAAGGTGATTCTCAATTATTTCTTGTAAACCCTTTTTTAACCTACCTTACCCACCTTTCTAACCTAAAATAATCCTGAAGTCGCTAACATCATCCTGAACTTGATAACATCGTCTGTAAGTTGCTAACATCATTCATAAGTTGCTAACGTCATTCATAAGTCGCTGTTATCCTAAAGTTGCTATTATCATCGTAAAGTCACTAACGTCATCCTAAGATTTTATTTGCCAGCAGTTTGACGTAATCAGTAGTTTAAGAAAGAGTCCATCAACGTCAAATGTACAATTTACCCTATCACCATCCAACTGTTTGATTTTCTTCGGGGTTTGGGAATTACGTGGTTTCCGTTTTATTTGGCCCCGTTACAAGTCCCCTCTATGAGGTGTGCCCAGTGTTGGAATATGCATCTGCTATGACTTGTAGTCACTGAACAGTGCTTGTGATGTGCAAGTCACTCAGTGAGTGGTGGACTTTACTCAAATGAAACGTGAATTTTGAGGATGTTTTAGTTCCAGAGGAAAATAAACTTTCATCAATCCTTCTAAAAACACTTCAACACATTTCATGGTCTCAATTTTTTTTTTCAACTCTATTTTTGTTCTTATTTTTTTCTAATATCATCAAACTTAATTATTTTCAACATGAAAAAAATATGTTATCTTAAAAAGAACCAAGCAGTTAAGGTGATCTTTAAGTCTCACAGCAGGCACCACTCCATGTAAATTTTGAACAAAATGAGATAGAGACTTGAAATTTTGTGAGCAATCACAAGTCAAAGGAAATGACTTTTGGATGCCCTCAAAATTTTAAAGGGGTCTTCCTAAAGAGGGGTAAAAAACTTAGGAGTTACATCAGTGATGCGACATAAATTTTTGGATCACCCTGTATAAAATACCTAGGAATTTTCTAGATATCTGACAAATGATGATGGAAAAAAAAAATTTGTGTACTTAAGTGCTGTTCCTTGTACATATCATAAAATCCATAATTTTTTTTTGTTGTAGATTACACCCATCGTATTGGGCGTACAGGGCGTGCTGGCAAAACTGGTGTAGCCGTTTCATTCCTCACAAAAGACGACTCAGCTCTGTTCTACGATCTAAAGCAAGTCATCGTAGCTAGTCCAGTCTCACAATGTCCGCCAGAGTTGCTGAATCATCCTGATGCTCAACACAAACCAGGAACTGTTTTAGTTCCCAAAAAGCGGCGGGAGGAGAAAATTTTTGCTTAATCTCCTCGAAATCAGCCCTCCCCCCTTAAAATCATTGTAAATAAGGGTAGCTGTACTGTTTATGGAAATGAAAAAAAATAAAATTAAATCTCATTAAGAAAGTTAGGTATCTTCTGCCGAGTAATGTAAATTTCTATCACTTATAAATAAAACTTCTAATTTAATGATTTTTTTCTTTAATTCTCAAATTAATAGTTCCTTCGATATCTTTCAAAAGACTAACCCTTAATTCGTTTGAAGGCTTACAATGCACAGAGAAGGATATAATCAATAAAAATAGCTAGCAATATTATGATTTACCAGAATGATTTTATTTATAGGGAAAAAATGATAAAAATCTGAGTGAGAATAGGTTGCAAAAAAGGCATGATATAAAAAATTATAAAATAGATGTTCAACAAAAATGATATTTGTACAAAAATGTTATTGAAGGTAGGTTAAAAAAAAAAAATTGAGAAAATAATTTCTGGATCACTTAATCCATACGGGTCTTCAGATGTCTTGTAGTGACCTTATCTTTTTCTCTGGAAAGAAGAAGACAAAAAATAAGGGTTAGTTACTGCTTTTTTCAAAGACAAACATGAAATTTCAGCTGAAGGTGAATTTAGGGAGGGACAGGAATGGGAACTCAATGATTATGCCAAAATGAATCTAGGTAGATATGATCAATCCAGCAAAAGGGAGCCTGAAAATAAAATAAAACCTGAACGTGGCAGTGCAGCCCGTAGCAGACCTCTCTCTTTGCTTCAAAACAGAGTGTCAGGCATAAGCAAAAAACAAGATAAAACCCCTTTCAGGTCATAAATTAAAGAAAGGCTGAGTTTACAATATTCCTGTAAGTAACCGTGAGTGCTGTGCTTTCCGAGTCAAGGCAAGATAAGTTTACGCACTTTGAGACTGCCACAAAAGATCGGGAGTCTTTACTGTAGCATTGAAAGTAAATTCAAAAGAATCCTGATAGTGGATTTTCCGTCGCTTTCTAAAAGAGCCTCAACTTTTTTGGCATAGCCTAGCTTAATGATAATATTTAGATAGCAAAAGTTAATCGTTATAAGGGCTGTAGACATTGCAGAGTTTAATGACATAAACTTACATGATGTAAACGACAGCACCCCAGCCTGAACCAGCATCTCGATTGAATGCGCTCATTAGGGCTTGAGATATCGTTTCAAATAGATCATCAGGACTTAGATCTGGCTCCCACATTGTTTCACATGTACCGAAGAGCTGGTCTTCACAAGTGCCTCCTACAACAAAGTCTTCAGGGAAACATACATTGCCTATTAAATCCATGTTGCAGATAAACGGTTCGTAAGTATCTGGTTCTAAGCCTACCACTATAGGCTCTACAAAGTATGGGCCAAACCTGGAAACAAAAGAGCAAAAGGATGAGGGTATGACAATCACTATTGAATGATAGTGCTACAACCTATTTCTTTACGTAAAAGAGATGTTAAACACATCAACTGCTTTGAATTTATCTAAATCTTCAAACCTACCTTACATTTTGAGCCATAATTTTTCTATGTCAATGCTCCAATAGCAACAAGCATCATAAATGAGAAGTTTTCCAGAAAAAGTGCACATACACATAATGAGTGCCCTTTTTTGGAAATTGCAGGAATGGATCATTTGTATCCTAATGTATATGAACCCCGAGTTTCAGCGCAATTAATCAACTTTCGGAGCTAAAATATCAAGTTTTGTGTGGCTAAGTAAAGGCTATTTCTGGAAGAAGTGCTCCCTTCCTGGAAAACTATGATTAAGCCAATGTTTTGGGTCCAGTTATGTGTAAGTACAGCTGTAATGGTGGCAGAGTCAGGCGCAAATTAGGTACTGCTTCACGACGTATCTCATCTATCTACCTCTGGGCACAACCGCCGCGATGTTATGAAGTTAGAGTGTGGCCCGAACAGGTGGACAGGGAATACTTTGGCACCAAAGAGGATTTTTATATTTTTTATTATTCAAAAGAGAGTAATGAAATGTATTTTTGTTTACAGAAACTCAATCATGTCTCAAAGATTAGACTTGAACTCATGACTCAAAGACTTAAGATCATGTCTTAAACAGCCAAAACCTGTAACCATCAGTCCATTTCCGTAAAAAAGGCACAACAGAAAATTTTAAGAAGATAGCATCAGCTTCAAATAAATTAGTCATAATACCAAAAACGCACCTTTTCTCATATAGCATATTTGAGACCATTGAGCTAAAAACTTTCGGTGACATCCTTGTGCCTTCTTTCAGTTCGAATAAGTTCTGACGGAACTTTAATCTTGCATGGACAGTCTGAGTATCAGTTGCTAGTCCAGGTAATCCAACATATAAGTGTGGGCCCATCTCAAATATTTTCTGTGAACAATAAAAAAATGGAAATGAACAAGTTCATATGACTTAACGAAAAACAGGAGAACATTTTGTAGGTGGATGGATTTAATCGAAATCAGCCAGAAATCAAGCAGGTGTTGCCTAAGTAATTTTCTCCAATGAATTATTTTTTAAAATGATAACAAAGCAGCACTGAAACTTGAAATTTTGTGAATATTTTTCTCAGAATCTAGGATGATTCCACAGAAACTTCAAAGACTAAAAGTGTTTCAGCTCTCGGTTGAAAATGTAGAACCAAAGAGACATTAACCCATTTCCAGTTGAATACTTGTGTTGTGACGATATTTATATGAGGGTTTCCAACACACATCTCTTGATTCGGATTGCAAAAATACGTGTTCAACCAGTATTTTAAAGCTCCAATTAACGTAGCTAATAGTGCTTTACATAAAATTTGGATGAGGAAACATGATATGTGATGCTTATTTTCATATTCTGCTGGATGATTAATTTGGCTACCCTCAACTTAGAATTCTGACTTAATTCCTGAACTTTCCTAACTACCTAGACATTTCGTATTGTAGTAGAAGGGACGTCGTTTGGATTACACCGTCATTCTCTCTCAAAGCAGAGGAAGGATAACTTTTATAGGTTATCAATGATGTAAAGGGGTGTCCGAATTATCTGAATGTTTACTTAGCTAGAGATTGACAATAATTGTGGAGCTTTGGAAAATTTTTTATTTCTGATTTGCGATCTTAAAGCTTCAAGAGTTAAAAGTTTCCTTTTATTATTAATGAAGCCCGCAGCTATGCTAATAATAATACCTCCGGGCAATTTAGAACAGGTTTTAAAGATGCTATTTGAAGGAGAGAGGATATGTCCCGTATAAAAACTTAATTCAGATTTATCACGAAAATGAAAAATGAAATAATGTAAAAGAGCTGAGTTAGATGATGGTTAAACTTACAGGAAACTCTTTTGAAATTAATTGAAGTTGTATTCCGAATTTCTTGTCACTGGCAATGGCAACGCAGTTTTTACCTTTCATCGCCACAACGGCTCCACCATTGTAAGATAAGATTGACTGAAAATACAAAATCAAAATAAGTCAAATTTGGAAAACTCCAACTTACATTGAGCAGAAATATACCATAATACACTTAACCACAGATCCATTCCATAATATTTAGAGTGGTGACTAACATAAAATTAGATAAACTTCTATTACCTACGTATCTCTAGGGTGCATTGTAATCGTTAAAATTTAACAATTTTTCCCAGTCCAGTACTTACCAACATTTACCAATTATGAGGAGTGGAAAAATTTTATTTTCAGAAAAAACGCAAGAGTTTGAAGAAAATGCAGAATTTTGATGCTAACGTACATACATATATTCTAAGCGAGAAAGTCAGTGCAGTCAGTTTGGCAGGCACAACTTCGGATCGCCAACTAAATCACAGACCAAACAGAAATGCAGACCATTTGCACATGTTTCAAATTAATGTAGATATTCAGTGTGTAAGATGGCATTCAGAGCGAATAATTCTGCAAATATTGACCATTTTTTAGCATTCTCCAAGGACATTGAAACATGTAGACCGTGCATCCTGTGTTACAGAAGACGAGAAAACTTTTAAAAATTCGCATGCTGATGAGTGGTGACACCGACCTGCATCGATGAGTTTGTGTGTCCCAATTGCACACATCCACATAGTAGCGGCTCAAGGGAAATTTTGTCGAATTGTGAGGCTTTTTTCCTCGGTAAATAATTAGTTCGGAAAAATTAAACAATGCTATTCGGTTGTACAATTGTATGTTCTAAAACTTTTCTTCTTGGGAATTTGGTCTGAAAATGGACTCTAAACAAGATATTTGTGAACAGCCGAGCGTGCGAATGAATTCTTCATTGCCTCTCTGCAGTCTGTTCGAGTGCTTGGGACGAACGCTCTCTCCCATTCCTCGCCTGCCCATCATGGGGCTCTGAGAGACTTGTCTCACTCCGCCTGTACTAAACCAAGCCGGACGCACGTTCAACGTGATTCGATATTTGTGCATTACTCGCATTTGATTAGAAAACTTTTCTACGTATCTTGTGGAGCTCTTTGAGAGTATCGTCTCTGAAAAATAAACAGCAGCTCTGTTGTTATCAGTCCATCCTGATTAGACCTAGATAAAAAATTAAATAAAACGGTTGAGGGTCTAATTTCAGAACCCACGTTAAATAAATGTTGACTTCTAATAGTCGGTGGTCACAAAAAATTGAGATCCCAAAGATAGAGCCCTGTTGTGTGTAAGAATAAGGATGACTTCCTCAATTGTGATTTTGAATATAACTGTAACCAATGAACCCTGAGAGCACCTACGGAGGAAGAGTGATTTTAATGTGAAAATAATCAAACAAAATTCAAGGGAACAGAGAATTCCTTACCATTGTGAAAGCTGATGATTAGACACTTTTGAACTCTATTACAAACATGCAGCAAAGCGCACTGCGCAGCCGATGGAGAAAAGTCGAAGATAGTGGAGAAACTCCGAGAAACTCTGTCGGATCGGAGAACGAAGAAATCAAGAAATGTATGTTCTACGCCACACCATGGGTACCGCCGGATCCGTGACGATATTGGACCATGTAAGGCATGAATTAGTGTCTGCGCCTTGCTGTTGCCTCATTTTCATTGGCTAATAGGCCCCGTAGATTCTACGTCACGGCAGTGCGCTCGTGGCAACTTTTCAACGCCTCTTTCCTTCTCAAAGTGCTTAATCCTTTGGGCCAGCTTTGGATCTTCTCTCGTTAGGTTAGGTCCTCTCCCCTTCCCCTCCATTAAAATGTAAACAAACTCAAACTGATAACTGATAAGTAAGTTGATAAGTCAAAGAGCGGCGTGCGGCGTTCTGGACATTACTCGGATACCTGTCCGAATTGACTTGACGTGATGCGAAGAACTGTCCAAATTGTTCCATTCAATTATTTTTAGTCATTTTACCACGTGTTAGAAATTGCTGTTGTCTAACGGTACCATCTCTGAATTCTTCTTTCAACCATACCCTATTGCATAGCTTTCTCCATCCCTCCATCCTCAGCAGAAATTAATCCTTTCTGCGCCGTGGCATGGTGAGTTATTTGTCCATTTCTAAATCCACTTTCAACATCTATTCATGGCTCAGTAACAAAAGGATGCATTTTCTTGTCTCATCTCAAGTGCACTGGGATTTATTTAAAATGATGTCACGGTAGCGGTAGGGCAGTGCTGCCTCATGGATGAATGTGGCGGTTGAACATCACCACAACCGTCTACTGTACACGCCAGCTGTTAATTAAAAATAAACTTTAAAATACTTCAAAATGGAGAGAGTTCTTTCCTGGAAGACTGCGTAATTTACTTCTCCCTTTCCTATCCAAACCCACGATTCCACATTGTTTGCACCTCTGAAAATTAAAGCTACCGAATACCTATTCTATGAATCAGTTATGAAGCCAACTTTGAAGAAGGATCCTACACATTTCTCACCCTTACTACTGGCAGTACGTATTCTATTCCATTCTGTGTTGTCATTTCACCTCCTCCAGGAGTTACTTACTTATTTCAATTCAAATCGAATTTGCCAATGCCCAATACCTAACTGCTGCACGGAGGCATCCTCTGAGCTTTTAGCCTCCCAACCGTTTTTACTGACCTTGTTTAATGTTTCACAGAAGCTTGCAACCTAGCAGTGATGGCTTGCGAAGAAATTGAGGAGTTTTTTGGAGTTTATCTGCTTTACTGCACCAATCCCAAGTTTAAAGGCAGAACTTACATTGGATTCACAGTAGATCCTAATCGGAGAATCAAGCAACATAATACAGGAGCGCATGCTGGTGGAGCCAAAAGGACGAGCAATCGAGGCCCATGGTGAGATTTCCTGAGAATTTTCAACCTCTGTCACTACAGGAACCCTATTGCATGGAGAAACTAGATGATCATTAATGTACCTATGTTATATATTAGGTATTCCAAATTCAATACCTATCTAGTAAGTATTCCATGGAATTTGTGGATGGAAGTTCATCACCCTCCAGCCAAAGTATCACAAGCGCCATGTCGACGGTGAAACTACCAAACCACGTATCTCGTTTGCGGTGTTTAAAAATCTCCGCTCACATTTTATTTTTTTGAAATAGACCAAATCAATATCATTCCTTGAAATTTTCACAGAATTTTCTCCGCACGAAGAGGAAAAATCACGGAAATTTTCAAGACTGGACGTTAAGTAGCTTTTCATTTAAAAAATAAAGTATGACAGGAAGTCTGCGACGTCGCAAACCGAGATACGTGGTTTGGTAGTTTCACCGTTGATGTACCCTTAGATGCTATGATGCCATCTTAATATTGCGAACATCTCAATTTTGCAGACATCTTATTATTGTTTTCATTTTTTCTTTTAAACTTTTTCACATACTTTTTTAAAACCTCAAGGATGAATCTTGATGATAAAAGGAAAATTAGCAACAATTTTCAAGTGATTCCGCTCATTAGTTTTGCTGTAAAAAGTTGAAAAAGTTTCAGAAGTTTGGAATCAGTGCATAAGTACTAATGGCAATTGTGATGACTTGGAAGGTGGCGAATTGAAGACTGATCGTGAATGATAGCAGTACTTAGTGAATCAATCGCTGCATCACTTAAATTCATGATCTAATTTCAAGGAAGGATATTTCATCATTTCAAATTGTATTTTTAGCTCCCAATTCCAGAATATGAAGGTAGATATAGATAGCTCTTTTGTTTTTTTCAGACAGTGTTTACAAAAATAATCCACCTAAAGTTTTCAGCTCATTGTCAATTTACTACAATTGGGTTCCAACCCACAACCGAAAAGTGATAGTCTGCAAAGGTAGGCTGGAGGGAGGTCACCTGGCCATTTTTTTCCTTGAAAAAATTCAATTGATGACATGAGTGGATAAATGAACTTCATTTTACCTTATGGAACTACTATTTTTGGCTCAGTTTAGGAAGGTCATATGTATCATTTATTTCCTTATGCAGATAGGTGCTTTTATGGTTGAGTCAGAATTGCTCCGAAATAATAGTTCTTTATTACAAAATTTAGACGGAATGGCTTTCTTGCTACAGCAAGGCTTACATTTCTCTAAAAATTATCACATACCTTGAGAAACATTTTGTTAAAAAAATGGTTTTACTTAATAGTTTAATTATCTTGTTTCATCATTATTATTTGCTTATACTATAACTCTGTTTTTCAGGGAGATGGTCCTCATAATTCATGGCTTCCCAAACAATATTTCTGCACTGCGGGTAAATATTTAAAATTAAATCATGTACCCCTTAAAATACAGTCAAGTATATACATTTTAAGGATTTGAAAAATCTGTGCAGGTTCTCTTCACAATAATTTTTTCTTTTAGAATCTTTTAAATAATTGAAGAAAACTGCTCTATCTTATGTGGTTTTTATTAGAAGGGAGGGGAGGGTTTCAAAAGATGACTGTTGCAAATATGCAGTGTGGTTTCAGCACCATGTTACTAATATGAATGGTAATGAAGTTTTGGCATTAAAATGTATCAAATTAAAGAAAATAAATGTGTGACGCTCAAAAGAGAGAATAAATAAATAAATAAATAAAAAAAATTGGAGACCAAAAATGAACTGGATTATATTGAAAAGTAACAGTGCACAGAATCACAGAATATTGCAAAAAGTTGCCCGAACTGTCTGAACTTTTAGAGGGAGCGACGCTGAGCATATGCAGGTCTGGGGTGGAAAAGATCTCGAAAAATAGGCAGCAAACGCTTATATAGCCTTACTGATGTAACGGGTGGTGAGACAGCAAGACTATTCGTGATTGGCCGGCTTTAATCTATGAAGCTATCAGCTGCAAGTCTCGTACCTTAAATAAAGGGTAATGGTTGGAAGATAACTGAAAAAAATGGAATTTTGAAGAAAAAGTGAAGAATACAGCCATCCTTAATGATTAAATGAACTAACAGGGAAGTTTATAAATAGGGATACAAAAATGGTGGAAAATCCTGACAATGACCCATCAGAATTCGGACTTTGAGTCTGTAGCTCTGCTCAGATAGTCTTCATCTACTTGGCAATCAAGATCCAAAATTTAGAAATCCATAATTTGTTGGAAAGAAGAAAATGTGTGTGGAAACAGTTATCACTCATCTTTATTCTTTATTCTTCGTCCCAAGTGTTCTAGAAGCATTAATCTCAGAAACTTGCTATAGGGAAATCTTTTGTTCTCTGTTTAAATTACTTATTGTTAGTGCTTTCTAAAAAGTTTAAACTTTGTAAGCATCCTCAGGTGCAAAGAGTTCTAAGGCACAGATAGATTTTTGCAATCAGGTCTTACTACTAACACTAAAATCAACTATAGTTATCAAGTCACTCAAGTAAGGTCAACAGTTTTTTCTGGGGATTTTCTGTGAATTTTCTTTACATGTTCAGCAATATTCAAAGAAAATTTCAAAGGAATGTTACAGTTGACACCAACTGAAACTTTTGAAAGTAACAAATTAATTTTATTCTATTTTCATGGGACCTTGAGTGACCCATAATTTTTTCTTTCAACTTCAATTTTTTCAAAACTTTCAATGCTGAACGACTTTATCTGCAGGAGTGCTGTATTGAAAAAACATTTCTATTTTAGTAATCTGCCCATAGAGGATAAAATATCACTATGGATATATCCACAGTGTCAATTATTTAAATTGAATTGTAGGTAGGTAAATAAAACTAATATTTTGTGCTTACTCTGTGACAATCATGAACATTAAAGTCAATTTTTTCTCTCTCAGTTTGAATGGGCATGGCAAAACCCTCATCGCTCCAGAAGGCTTCGACATCTGAAAAAGAAAACAAACCGTGAAAGATGCTATGATTTCCGTTTGAAAGTTCTTGCAGAGATGCTAAGCACGTGTCCTTGGAACCGTCTACCACTAACAATTCGATGGCTGAATTTAGACTTTGAGCGATCTCTTCAGGTACATTTCTTCAGTACCTGCAGGCTACCCTGTCCAAAAGTGTGATTTTTTTATCTCGAAGGAATATGAATATGTAGAGATATTTCTAAAACTTTCATCTAAGAATAGCTTTTATTTTAAACTATGTTTCAATATTTCAATCTTCTTGAAAATCAAAAAGGATTTGTACCAATCATGTTCTCTTTCTCAAGATAGTTTGCTCCCAGAAATGTATCCGCTTCTAGATGTTATTGATAAGACCCATTGTTGGTCCAAATTAGTAGGAATTGATGAATGCCCCTTCCTCCTCTCCTCTGCTATTTTGAACTGCTGCTTTCCCCTTCCTAAGTTGCTTTTTGTAATTAGCTCCGCTGATTGCAATAAAAGCCGATCTAGTTCTTGGTAAGAACTGCAAACCCTACAAATTTCAGCTGGATTGCCTCAAATCCTCTCTAGATATGAAATGAACAAGATTCGGCCTCCCACCCACCCCTAAAAATCTACTGCACCAATCTCTAGTTATTTTTCATCAAGAGACAGTTCAAATAGAGTATTAAATTTCACAACAAATTTGGTTTTATACCTCAAAAATTAGTTGCAATATTGACTCTCAAAACCAATGAGATAATTATTGGTTGGTAGAAAATTGATACATACGTACATTTGTAGTTCAGAGCTATAGAAATGTAGCCAACAGCAATTTTGGAAAAAATTTAATGCTTTGAATTCTTGACATGATTATTAAGGGATCCATTCATGTAAAAAAATGGTTATAATAGCTATAACATCAAGTCTAGGGTTTAGGGTTTTTACAGGGTTGCCACAGTCAGGGAAAATGACGAAAGTGTTAGGGAAAAATTGTTGTCACCATTATTTGCTTTCTAGAGTGGGTATTTGACGCATCAAACAGCAAAAAGTGAGCACCATGACTTGCTATAAAACATTCCCATGAATTTGTCTTGTCATAATTTGATGTTTACTTTCAGGTATATCGTCCTCCTCCATTACACATGTGCATTACAAATGGACCCATCGTACGAAAGCAGTTGAAGACAAGTAGCTCAGAGGAAGACCTATTCTCCCTCTTATCTTGTGACGTGTGTGGCGATGAAGTAGAGAAGGAGTCTCAGATTACATGTTTGCATCCAGACTGTGACCTCAATGCTCATATTGTATGCCTAGCAAGTAAGTTTCTCGAGCACGAAGCTTCCGATGAGCATATGCTTCCAGTTGAGGGATGTTGTCCTAAATGCTCTACAGTCCTTCTGTGGGGGCATCTTGTTCGGAAAAAATTAGGGTGTCAAGATTTGGGGTCCTGAATCATTGTATGAAAAAGCTGCTCACTTGTGGCTTGCATGAACGGTTCATGCAATATTTGTGTATCCGGACTGATACCCACAAGATATAATTCCTACGAGGGTCTCTATGAGGGTTCTTTTGAGGTCTCAATATGAGTTACTTTTATAAGAGGATAAGTGGATTCTCCCTGCCTTTTACTCTGCACTCTGAGCTGCACTCTCGGTCTGGAGCTATTGCATTAAGAAACAACAAAACTGCAAAAATCAGTTCAAAATTTAGTTAGAGCTTGATTAGAATGGTCTTAAGCAGTGTTGTCCGATGTCATGTAATAATATCAAAATTTACATGTTCTCATTACTTTTTATTGTACACTTGACAAAATTCGGCAGATATCTGCACTGAACGTTTATTGGCTCATCAGTCCTCTCGGCTCAATGGTTAAAACACCAATCATCAAACTTGACTATTTAAATAAACATCATTTGAACAAAGGAATAGAAGCCACAAAACTCCCCCCAAAAAAAAAATAAAAAATAAACGTCGAATGCTGACTATTTAAATTGATGACAGCTAGGAAATGAGACACACAGGAAAAAGAAAGCAGTCAAGCAGAAAATTAACCCTTGGATGCATGATTTTTCCTTTCCTAACAAAATAATTTTTTTCATGTGTATCTTGGCCTACTAAAACATGGAAAAATACTGAAAAAAATCTAACAACAATATTTAAGTATAAGAGAGCCTAAAATTTGATTATTCCTCATACAACCATCCATGCAGTAAAAGAAAGGGAAATGGAATGAAAAAGAGAGGAAGACTCACCAATCCTTCGGCATGTGACAGCCATCCATGTGTCAAAATATAACTAATAATCCAGTATGATGCATCGATGCAGTTTCCCTTGATTTTATGGTGAATTTAATAATAAACGTACTCGCACGGGGCAAAATACCATATTTTCGGCAATTACTAAAAATTTTTAAATTTTAAATTGGCACCACTTTTAATTTTTTATAAATTGTGAAATCTAAAGAACATATTTACAGGAAAGAAAAAATCAACCGAGGCTTCTTCTGCCTCTTAGCTAAGCAGAATGGTACGAGCAGAAGCAACTTCTGTCTTTCACAATGCACAGATTCTTGTTGCCCTTAGAGCACTTGTAATTGGTCTTCAGCTTGCAACCAGGGAAACGGAATAATCTACGCTTTGCTTCCATTAAAGGCCAATAAGTAATCTTGTCTAGCCGCACATCTTTTGGGGGAGCTAGAACTGCAGGGCCTTGTCTCTTTTTCGCTGGTTCAGCTTGGCCAGGTGTCAATGATCTACCGCGTTTTGGGATGGCTTCTGTGCCAATTCTGCACAAAGTGATGGCTAAGTCTTTACAAAACTCCTCTAATGTCTTTGGTTTCGGAGGGTTTGCTGCCTTGCTGGCTGTTAAGACTCGCCGGTAAAGCACCCATGAATTGACAACAGTAGTGTTAAGGAAGTGATAAAATAGCTTCGTGTATCACTTTTTAAAACTTTCTACGTTGATCCGATGGCGAGCAAGATGGACATCAATCAGATGGACTCCACCCATGTGCTTATTATATTGGATATTAGCTTGAGGACATTGTTCTTCTTCCCTGGCTTTGTTCTTTCTATTGTAACTCTTTACAGTTGTTTTTGGCTCGGTACCTATGTACGTACTGAGGAGGGTAACTGGCTTGTTATCCATCCACAGTGTGCACGTTAAGGGAAGCCCATCAGATTGTGCCACACATTTCTTGGATTCGCCTCTTTTGAGTTTCTTCAAATTTGGTTTTAAAGGTAACTTTAACCCTGGCAATCGATTCCTGTCGACTGTTCCTAAAGTTAGTATACCTTTCTGGTATATGTGTACCCCAAGCTGTAGTGAAGTATAATAATTATCATAGAGCAGTGTGCGGTATACGTGAGGAGTAATTGTTCTGCGCAAACGAATTACAGTATTTGAACTGACTCTTAAATCTGGCCCATTATACAGAAAACGTTGATTAGGGTCATTTTCCAAGCCTGTATACACTTCAAAATCATACTCAAACCCACTCATGCTCGCAAGAGAGTACACTTTGTAACCCCATTTCTTAGGTTTTAATGGTGTATACTGTCTAATTAATGCCATAGCTTTTGATGGACACAACTGTTCATCGATGCTGAGATATTCCTCTCTTGGAATGGATAGGAATTTTTTTCTCAATGAATGGTCTGATTTTGTGAAGGCGGTCATGACCATCATGGCCTGGTGGAATGGCAAAAGTTGAGTAATTTAAATCATAAAACTTATGGATTTCCTCAAATCTATTCTTGGAGATACATTCGCGCACAACATCATATCGATATCCGGATCCCAATACGCACGCACACTAGGTAAATGCACAAGGTCCATCTTGAGACAGACACCTAAATACCTTTCTAGTTCATGAACTGACATTCTGAAGGGTTTGTCGGGATTTTTCTGCACTGAACATCTCAGGGTTTCTGCAACAATTAGTTTTTCAGAGTTTCATCAAAGAAATAAGAGAAGAACTGGTGATTCTAACTTGAGAATTTCATCAGGTAATTCTGCACAGCCTGTGAACTTTATGGACTCAGGATCATGCATGAAGTTTCCTTTCCTCCATCTTAACCAGTTTTTTGGACGCTCTTTTTTCTTCTTGCTGCGTTGCTGGAGATTTCTTGGTTGAGCTGGGGGATTTTTCCGCTTAACTGGTGCTTTCCGATCAACATTCCGTCTAGCAAGAGCTCTGGGCTGGGCTTTGCGCAACTTACGCTTTGTGGATGAGGCTTGCCTGACAGGTGCCATGGACGGTGTTTGACAGACTGTGTTCTTTGAAAAAATATTAGGATCAGTCACACTACTATGGAGATTTCTTGGGTGAATTGGCGGATTTTTCCGTCTAACTGGTGCTTTCCGACCAACAATCCGTCTCTGGAATTCGGAGGAAGGAAGGAAAATAAAGTGAATATTTAAATCGATTTGAGTTAGTTTTGGTGAGTTTTTCTTCACAGCTTTTTAACGTCTCATCATCTTTTAGATCGTTATTGCTGAACATTTCGTAATTGAATTTCATAGCCTTGGCTATGTCCATGAACCGTTCAGGTTCTGTAGTCTTGGACTGATCTTCTGAAAGCTCATTTTAAATTATGAAATCAACAAGTAGTATTCGCTTAAATTCCGAGCCGGTGAGGCAGCTTTATATAGAGTAATAAATTTAAGTGCTGATTTTTGCTGATACGGCAAGACAACTCAAGTCCCTTAAGTTAATAATGTGAATGATGACGAATATGTAGTATGAAACTAGTAAGCTTATTTTGCCATCTGATACCATAAAGATGTAAGGATTTTATGATAGGTGATTATGTCGGGGCATCTGAATTTGATGACTAGAAACACCATTAGGGTGTGTGAAATTTATGACAGTATTGGACTGTTCAACAGGGCCGGATCAAGGGGGTGGCCACAAGGGCCGCGGCCCATGGCGGCAAATCTAGGGGGCGGCAAATTTTGCAATTTTTTTAAATGTAGGTATAAAAAAAATCGGATTTAGAATAAAAAAAATTACAAACGAGAAAAGGCTACAAAATCTCTCATTTCCTGAGAGTATAGTAATTTCTAATTTTGTCGTCTTTCAGTGATACAAGAGAGCACCTTTAATTAGTCGAGTTAAGAGAGAAACCAAACACACAATTTGGCCTGGTAGGGCGCGACTTAGGCTGAAATGATGACGAAGACTCGAGATGAATAGGAGAAGCCCTCAATCGGCATGTAACACATATTAGCGCCTACAAGACTGCACGAATACTTCACGCATTGCATCAAACACATGTGCGGGTTATTGCGGTCAGCGTGAAACGCATAGCGCCTACAAGACTGCGTGAATACTCCACGCATTGCGCCAAATGCGGCGCGGCGGCGGAAGTTAAAATCATTAAACCAAATTTTGTGTTTGTTCTCTCATAATTTTTTCGTTCATTTCTTGTGAATGGAAGGCCTTGTCCATTGGAGATAGGTTTACGAAACTTTACTTTCGCGCAAAGTTCAGTGACCTTTTGCTAGTAGTGTTGACAGGGCTTTCCCAAAGAATGTGTTCAACACGAGTAAACGCGTCTTATGCACTCCTCCCCCGATGGCACGTTCACTTAATGGTTTTTATTGATTTTTCTAAACGAATGAGAAGGGGGCGGCAAAATACAGGCGGCCCATGGGCGGCATGTAGGAAAATCCGGCCCTGCTGTTCAAGTTTAAGATTCATAACAGTGTAAGGCTAGTGAAGTTTAAAATTGATACCGTTCTTGTGTCATTTTTTTGAACTACCATTGGCGTGTCTTTAAAATTTTTTGTAACCTACAGTATATCAACAATGTATAGTTTTAATCGTTTTGGAGCCACTTCTTTCGATTGAAGTGAATTTATTCACGTATGAAGTCCGAATCAAGCTTTTTGGACAAGCTGAGTGTATCTTGAAAAGAATTGTCTTACATTGTTAATATAATGTAAGTGTACATCGAAATAATATAGACTGTCACTGTATTGAAGAAAATCTTCTTTAACATCTAATGAATAAACTGAAAGATTCTCAATATTTTTTTACCGTTTCGTTTCATCTCTAGGGAATTCTTACTTTATCGTTAACCATTCTATCCTAAAGATTTTAGACCTAATGTTATATTTTTGTTGGCGGTTTTTTATATGTATGGGCTGTAAAATGGCCTAGTTTTTTTTTAGAGCAAGCGTTCACTTGCATTTTTAAGCAATTGATTTGATGGGAATTCATTGTGACTTCTTCAAAATTGATTTCCGCAATCAGTTGAATTAGTGTAGAGTATAAGGATTCTTGTACTTTGCATCAATTTTGTTTCATTGTTTTTAAACTGTACTGAAATAAAATTTGTTAAAGCAACTCATTGTAGTGAAGATCAATTCCACAAAATATATAGTGGGGACAAGGGTGTTCAACAAAATTTTGATTTTTTTCTGAAGCTCAAGTCTTCTACTTATAACTCACCATGTACTTTCCGCTCATTAATCTGAATGAGCCCCTAAGCAAAAACGGTTTGAAGTTGGCTTAGTATCAACATTTTTTAATCAAGGTTCTTAATTACAACTAGACAAATTGATTGCCACCATTGCATAGTCATATCTTGTCATTTTTATCATCAAAACTGTCAATTCGTTATCCCCAATTTGAGGTGTATCATTCTGATATTTTATTGTGGGCCAACATGTTTTCAAGCAGGGTGCAAATCGTTCTCAACCCTGCTGCTGCGACTCAATTGGACGTACTTCTGTCAAACGGAACTATGTGCATTATGACGTGAGCCCTGTAATGCATGTATTCTTATGGGTCTCAGGGCTCATCTCTTAAAGCACGTAGTTCTGTTTGATAGAAATACGTCCAATTGTATACACGTGCCCATAGAATTGTGGGGGCTGAGAAATTTGTTTTTATTTTCAGTCGTTTTTGTTGCCTGTGCAGCTGAGCGATTTTGGCACACATTCTCCCCTGATTTGCGATCTTTAAGCTAGATGCTAATTGTTTATGCCATTTTACCTTTCTGTGGAAATAGTCTGTTCAAAAATGTAGCATTTTAATGAACTCGTTGAGATGATCATGTTGCAGAAAGTGACTGTAGATGAAAAATGTATGTAGGTACCAAAATATTGATCAGTGCAATATGTTCACCCTTTTGCAAAGACCTAACGGGTGCTCAAAAATGCGGAGGCTTTAGAACAATTCGCACACTTGGGCGTATTTCTACCAAACAGACCTATGTGGAGGTGAGAAATATAGGGTGTGCTCGTTAGTTCTCTTTGCGTAAGAGTGAATGATAATAATAAAGCGCCAGTGACGTCAGCGGCAACGAACGATACGCGTTACTACGACGAGCTCGTCGACGGTGCGCTTTAACTCATGAGCCCTGTTCACAAAGCTCTCTTGCCATGTCCGCGGCTCATATATACCGCATTCAGTTGGCACATAGGTCTGTTTGATAGAATATAAAATCCCGCTTTTCCAATTCTTCAAAAGGAATCACGCCCACTTTTACATTGTTTCTTATGCAGCTCTCTAGAGCACACCCTATATGTCTCACCTGCACATAGGTCTGTTTAGTAGAAATACGTCCACTTGTGTTCAACATCTTCCATCAGTTAAATCAAAATTTGCCACCACCCGAGGCAGCGTATGTGTAAATCCGGCCATGCTCCGGAGTCAACTCCGGAGTAGATGAGGTTCTTAAGGCGAGCAAATCCACCGCGCAAGTTGACGACCAAAGCAGGGCCGGATTAAAGGGGTGGCCGCATGGACCGCGGCCCATGGCGGTAAAATGTAGTGGGCGGAAAAATTTGCAATCTTTTTGAATGTAGGTATCAAAAAAAGAGAAAAAAAATCGGA